GAGCTAAAAGTACATTTTCCATGAATTTTCAGAAATTCCATGCATGGAAATCACAATGTTCCATGTATTGTTCAATCCGGTTCACAAATTGTTTTGAATGATTCATTAGCAAATTTATCTGAATCAGTGTAAAAAAAAAAAATCTTATACAGTAATCACAAACAACCAGAAAGTTAATGGAAATTCATTGGTCGGAACCTATTTCCAGATTTCATGACCCTGGGAATGCTGTTTATTATGAAATAACACTCAGCGAATTTGTTGATCTGCAGCATATTAACTGAAGAGGTCATCAGTAACATCTCCTATTGATGATCTAATCACTAACAGCTTGTTTCACCTCCAGAGGCATGAAGGTAATCGAGAACCGTGCCATGAAGGACGAGGAGAAGATGGAGATCCAGGAGATGCAGCTGAAGGAGGCCAAACACATCGCCGAAGAGGCCGACCGCAAATACGAAGAGGTGAGTTACGAGCGCCTGAAGGAACAACGCTTCCAGATGTGTGAAGCTTGAGGTTCTTCATCTGAACGTCATCTCTGCTGCAGGTGGCCCGTAAACTGGTGATTCTCGAGGGGGAGCTGGAGCGAGCTGAGGAGAGAGCCGAAGTCGCTGAATGGTATCATTTGCCTATTCTCACACTTTTGTTCTCACACTTTAAGATGTGAATGTTTGTTGCTTGACCAGTTAAACCATTGTTTTCTTCTCAAACACTTCCAGCAAAGCTAGTGATTTAGAGGAGGAATTGAAAAACGTTACCAACAACCTTAAATCCCTAGAGGCTCAGGCAGAGAAAGTAAGTCAACATCTCTCTTTTATCTGTTAATGTTCACAAAGTCACAATTTCAGACCTCTATAATAATCATCGCTCGACTTCAGAGCCCGATAATTGCTTTGAAACTAAAAGACACAGTGTGTAATTTACAGTTAAAGTTCTCACAACACAATAGCTCTGAAAGCGATACAAAGTTTATACAGATTTGCTGTGTCTGTCTTTGTTTGCATGTTTCAGTACTCAGAAAAAGAAGACAAGTATGAAGAGGAAATTAAAGTTCTTAGTGACAAGCTGAAGGAGGTAAAGAAGGCAATGAATGAGACAAGGGTCAAAGATAAGCTGCCCTTTCTCATCCCGAATGTCTTTTTTCAACTTCCGTATTGTGTTTTTCAGGCCGAGACCCGCGCAGAGTTTGCAGAGAGGACAGTGGCCAAACTGGAAAAATCTATCGATGACCTGGAAGGTACGAAGATAGTAATCTTTGTGTTAACTGAGTTAAGCAAGTTTACTGTGGAGCCAAAAGTTCAACTTAAAATCTTTTGCAATATTGGGAAGAGAGTAGGGCTGCACGATAAATCACATGCGATATTTAACTCGCATCTTATCAGTAAAGCCGGTTCTGTAATCAGCGGTAAATCTCCATCACCTGCGGGCTTTCACTTTGAGCAGCATTAACTACACCGATCCGTCGTGCACTGACCACGTTCATATTCACGCGATTTTTTGCGCAGCTCGTCAGTGCACAACGGCTCTGTGTAGTTAATGCTGCTCAATGTGAAAGCACGCAGGTGATGGAGATTTACCGCTGATTACAGAACTGGCTTTCTGACAAGATGCGCATTAAATATCGCATGCGATTTATCGTGCAGCACTAGAAGAGAGTAAAAGTAAAAGAACATAGAGATTCTGTTGGCTTAACTACATGTTCTAGAAGTGCAAGTATCTGTTTTCCAAACACTGTACTGTAGCTTTTCCCATAATTAGCAATGACTACTATTGTAGCTGTGACAACATGTTGACTGATTCCAGTGCATCGGTTCCTTTGGATGATTTGTTGTTAAGAATGACTTTGTTCAAATAGTTCATTTCAAAAATTCACAGTAGCTGTTTTCAAAGCATTGTTACTTTTCCAGGAATGAGATATTTTCTCCAGTAAATCAAGATTAGCACAACACAAACATAGGGGGCGATGATTCAATTTAGTTTGAGTGGTTTGGGCAGCTGTACAAAAGGCTTTGTTTAAAAGCAATTAACTGATTCATAAACCAGATTTGATTGGTCTGGGTGGTCCGTTTTAGTGAATCGCTTCATTCAGAAAAAACGTACTAGTTCAAAAACTAGATTTGATTTATTTGGGTGGTTCATTTTAGTGAATCACTTCATTCTGAAGGAATGAACTGGTTCAAAAACTAGATTCGATTGGTTTGGGAGGTTTGTTTTTGCAAATGGTTTCATTCAGTCAGAATTAACTGGCATAAAAACTAGATTTGTTGGTTTTGGGTGGTTTATTTTAACAAATCGCTTTGTTCAGATGGATAGAACATTAATAAAAAGATATTTTACTCCTAAATAGATTTAATATACGTATCTATTATATGACGTAGCTAACAATGTTTTCAAAAGGGTCACTTTTGACTATAGTTTGACTTGGAAAACAACACTACACACTAAACTGTTCTTATGGAAACTTCAGTGAAGGTAAGGAAGTGGCTAAATGAACTTTTCACCTTCAGAAATGACCAGTGGTGAAGCAGCACACGTCGAAAAGTCTTGCATGGATAGGGTTTTACAGGTCACAGGCAGGTCATGCTCCCCGTCCATATAACGGCCATAAAATCTTTTGAAACACACAACACCATATTGTTTTAGAGCAATTCTGTCAGAGTTCCAGCAGGCTTGTGTTTCAACTGCTTGAACCTTTCACTGGAAGATGATATATTCAGCTCAGTATATGGAATCAGTTTAAACAAGCCTGGTATTGCTTCTGTACCAAGAGAAATGAAGTATGTCTGTTTCCTACAGCGCAAGTCAACTCTTTATGAGACCAAACTCTGCATTTGCTTATTAATAAAAGTGTATGACTAGTAAAAGTAACTAGGGAGCATATCTTCTCAGGGCCAGATGGAAATTTTACAGTCATTGTTGGTTTGCACATGATTTTCTTACATTGTTCCTGGTATACCATGATATTTCATAGCATGTTTAGTCTTCATACATCCATTAACTTCTTGTCTCTCTCTTTTCATTTGGTTTCTGTCCATTGCTGCTTCTCATCCTTCGCTTTACTGCTTTTCCTGCCGATCTTCAGATGAACTCTATGCTCAGAAGCTGAAGTATAAAGCCATCTCTGAGGAGCTGGACCATGCTCTCAATGACATGACCTCCCTGTAGATCCATCTCTGTCCCGCTCTGCACCTCCTGCTATCTCAGATTTCTAGACACTTTCTTCATGTTTGCTTCATTTTCTTCTATGTGTCTTCGCTAGTCTCAATAAAACACTCCTGTTGTTTCATTTCAGACTCTCAATCTTCTGTTTTCATTGTTAATGATTTGTTATGAAGATAGGGAGGGGTCCCTATGGTGATGAAAAACATGGAAATATAAGGAAAATTTTAGGCCTAGATGAAATATTGTATTGGCTTGTAAGATGTAGTGATGTCCGATTTGTGTTTACAATCACAAATGACTGGAAAGTTTGTTGAAATTCTTTGGTCGTGGAAATTCATTTCTCAAAAGTATGAGAACCTTTGAGAAATGTGGGACCTTTACACACACACACACACACACACACACACACACACAAACAATATCAGACTCAGTAACTAAATGACCTCAGACCTTATAATGGAGTTAGTTAATGGAGTTAGTTCTACATTTATTAAAAATATTAACTATATTACAAACATTGTAATATTTAAAAAAAAAAAAAAGTTTCCTACTCCTTACATATAATATTCTCATGACCACAAAGGTGAGGTTACATTTCAATTCTGACTGATTTCCCACTTATACCTCTAATTTATTTTACTAATCTTCACATTAGAAAAGTTCTTCTTTAGACGTACACTTCATTGTAATTTAATACTATTACTGACAATGACCATTTAATGCAAGCAAAAAAAATTGTGTTTTTACTATAGTGTGGTTGTGGATGAAGTGCACTAAACTAAGTCTGTAAGCTTATTTTAACGTGTGTGCAGTAGCAGTATCGTCTGACTAATTATTTTCATTTTTGCTTTTAGAAAAATTATCTTCTGCAAAAGAAGAAAACCTCGGAATGCATCAAGTGCTGGATCAGACACTTCAGGAGCTGAACAGCTTATAAGAGACGATGAGAGAGAACAACGTCCATCGTACAACATTCCACAAATACTCTCCTTCATTCCAACTCGCAAGCTATTGAGCCCTATTTTCTCACAGAATATGCTAATAATTTAATTTTTGATCTGAGGTATTCTTTTTGCTCTTTTATCCAATTTGGCTCGATATCGCTACTTCCAAAAAATAGCCAAAAACAACCTGAGGTGCTATATTCGAGTTTTCCCACTGAAACAACATTATAAGTAGTTTAATTAATGGCATACCACATGGAAAGTGAATATGTTAAATGTGTTAATGTTAAATTCACTTCCAGTTGCGCTATTAATGTATTCCAGGTCAAATGAAAACATTAATGATGGTGCTTCATTTCAGCGTTTCATATGTACATCATACGCTCAATCTACTGGCCACATGACGCACTGCAGTAGCTACATTACTCAATTGATAATGCCATGTTGTTTTTGACGTGCACCACAGTACCATGGTTAGGCCTATATATCAAAGATACATTTTGTGCAACCACCACAAAATGGGGACCAAACAAAGACCAAAGAAAAGTGATTTCTGTGAATGCGTTGTTGCTTTTTCCCCCTGTCAAATGAGTAGGCTATTTCAAAATGCCGCAAACGTTTCTTTTCCGCTTTCTGTGTAATAAATTTTTATAAAAAGTCTCTTTGTGTTTGATTATTGTCCAGAACAGTCCAGTTACATGAACAACATGCTAAGCTTCATATTTTACATACTTCTAAGTTATGGTTATAAAGTTGACTCGATTCTGCCTATTTTTATTTCTGTGAAAAACATTTGGCACTTAGGGTAAATGAGTATCAGTATATGACCATCTGACACAAAACGAAGCACAAAAAATGATAATTGAATCGTCCAGACCTGTTCATTGCGTGAATATATGAATCCAACAACAGCGAAGGCTTTGCTCATAAATTATTAAGTACGTTATGTGACGTTCTTCGAGCAGACCTACCTGATTTGCTGAGCGTAGGAAAACTAGCGGAAGCCTACACTAATTAATATTAATTACGTTATGTCGAGCAGGCCTTCTTGATTTGCTGAATGACTGCGACATTTGCCTTATGAATATTAATTAGGCTGTGTTACTGGACGGTCCAGGAAAGTGAACAGGACGTAATTAATATTCATTATATCAAGTCATACGCCATAGTCCGCGCACAAATCAACTACACTCGTGTGTAAACTGATCATATGTTTTCACCAGAAACCGACTGATGACTACAAATCTATAAATGCTTATAGTTCATAATCTGAAATGTGTTGTTGACCTTTTGTTTAAACCACACCCAAAAAAAACAGTTTTAACAGGTGACTATACCGTGTGACTCGGCAGGTGAGTTATGCGTTATGAAAACATTCAATTTTTTCTGTCTGTATTATTGTTTATAATAGCGGCAGTCTTTTTAAAACACCTTTACGTCAACTATGTGTTTCTTAGAATATAGACTGTAATGTTTTAATATGTGCAAATAAGCGCGCTAAACGAAATGAAACATCCTTTTTTGTTAAATCCACATTAAACAAGTTTGGTTATAATCAAGATTTTGTGAGTCATAAAACTGCTGATCAATTTGACAAATTTTAAATATTTATAACTTCCTATATGTGATAGCCTACGTTCTGATATAATTTAATTTAAATTCACTTGTAATCCTTATGTATGCATGCATGTACATGAATGTAGTTATTTATTTATTTACTTGTTTATTTATATTTGTTGACAATATTGTTTATTCTAATCTCTGGACAGTTCACCTAGATTGAAAAAAAGAAAGAAAATTATTTGAATTTAGATGTTGAAAACATGTTCATCATAGAAGTGCTGTATTTAATTCATTGTCTGAATGTATTTTATTTTAATGTATTTTTAAATACTTTAATAACTCCAGACAAAATTAATGTCATTGGCCTACATTCATTTTATTAAAAGTGTGCATTTTTCCATCAAATTATTTGTGCCTTTAGGACAAACTGGATGTCATGGCTGTGCCTTTACCGCATGACAGCAGTAATGCAGCATTCGACTGGTTCACTGAATTCCAGCGCAGCTGCATTTTGAAGAACGGAATTGTTCCAGAATGGATCCATGGAATAATATCCAGGAAGTAATGGATCGAATACTGTACTATAACAAAACTAAGCAGACAGACTCTGAAATATGTGCTTGAATTCTCAGACTATGTCTTATCATGAACACAATGACATCATAGAGCAGAAAATCAGGTTACTGATACCTGTCAGATTAAATATTTCTGTATTGTAGGGCTGCGGAGGACATGCTGATGTGCAAACCTTTTGGTTACTTCCTCATTCGTGTTAGCGAGAGCAGAGTGGGTTATACATTATCTTATCGGTAAGTCTGTGTCAATGTGGCCATTGTTGTCAGTCAATAAACTTAATTATAAGGAAGTTTGATGTACAAGTACTGTACATGAATGAGTCCACGAATCAATATAAATCTTTCTCCTAGAGCTGAAGATCGCTGCAGACACTTCATGATTGGCGTCTTGCCAGATAACCAGTATATTATAGTGGGAGAAAAGACACACTTCTCTTCCCTCCATGAGTTGGTGGCCTTTCATCGCAGAAACCCCATTCTCCCCTACAATGACTTGCTCACTGTGGCCTGCGAACAGGTATAGAGTTACACTTGCAATTGCTAGCTTGTTGTTTCTAGATATACCACAAACAGGTTGGTTATGGTTATCCATCAAGATGAACCAAATAGACGTCAATCAGTCGAGCTGGTAGATAATCATGGACCACTACCAAACTGGCTATCATGTTCCTTCTTGACAGCCTTAAGCTGTTATGACACACACATATTTATAAAATTCTGTAATAATACAGTATAAAAATATATATTATATAAATCAAAAAAATATAGTCACAGTGTCTTATAACAATTACAAAGATTTTGACGTCACAAAAATTATATTAAGTTTTGTACACTTTTGCATTGTTAAATAGTATAAATATGTTGTTTACCCCATCAACAGCATGATAGGGGAAATAGTCAGTTTATTTTCACCATCAACATTATTCATAATCTTTGAATATGTGGCTCTGGTATACTGTATCTGGCCTTGAGCATTTTTTTGTGGTCTCATTTGTGTGCAGGGTGGCAAAAATAACTACGTTGAGTTGTTGTTTCCTGGAAAGAAAGATGTAAACCCTGGACAGGTTGAATGGATACATTTTTCAACTCCAACACATACAACTCATTCAAATATTTCTGAACACAACCCAACTTCGCCGCTCCAAAACGAATCATTTACGCCACCTACAAGTCCTTCTGCGAGACTGTATATCAGCTTGGAGACAGAAATGAGCTCTTTGAATCTACAGAGCACGGTAATACAACATCAACAGATTATATAATTATATTAATAAAATTACAAATTATATAATTTTATTGTAGTTAAAAGAATAGCTCACCCCAAAATGAAAATTTGCTAAAAAATGTACTCACCCTCAGGCCCTTTCGAGATTTAAATGAGTTTGTTTCTTCCTCATAAAAGATTTGGAGAAATGTAGCATTTCATCACTTGCTCACCAATGGATCCTCTGCAGTGAATGGGTGCCGTCAGAATGAGAGTTCAAACAGCTGATAAAAACATCACAATAATCCACAAGTAATCTACACGACTTCAGTCCATCAGTTAATATCTTGTGAATTGAAAAGCTGCATGTTTGTAAGAAACTCTCATTCTGATGGCACCCATTCACTGCAGAGGATCCATTGGTGAGCAAGTGATGTAATGCTAAATTTCTCCAAATCTGTTCATAACAAACTCATCTACATCTTGGATAAATTCTGTGTGAACTATTTGTTTAAAAGGAACTTTTTTTTTGTGTGATTTATAATATTGTGAATTAAGAAACAGGTTGTTAAAAATCTAATAATGTGTTTTTATATTTCAGGATCAGCCCACAAAGCCCATTCCAAAGCCTAGAACAATATTTACATCCAAACCACCAACTGACGACATGCCACCACAGTTACCGCCCAGAGCATGCTTGCCAAATCACCCGCAAGCCACCGCAGAGGCTGACAGATTGCAAGGGTTGATGCCGGTAAGCTCTGACAGACATCAAATCCCACCCAACACACTTGTCGAAGGCCGTATCCAACAAAAAAAACAACAACCATTGAAACCGGTGGTCATGGGCCTGGCGCAAATTAAGAAAAAGCTTAAAAAGAACCGCTCCAAGGAGCACATGTATGAGGAGATTGTTCAAGATGTGTGTCAGGAAAATTCAACTTTTTCTGCTTTGGAGAGTAGTAACGTGAACCCTACACAACTGGAGGAAAATGACTATCAGGAATTACCTGAAAAATCCACAGTTGAAGGCCGTCGGGCATCTGATGGGATTCCCAACTTCGCAGATAGACAATTACCATTGGAGTACTTGAATCCACCTCCTTTTGCACCTGGTTACTAGATAAAAACATAAAGATGGGTGGTTTTACTCAGAGCATTTGTTTTATTGTCATTGAATAACGTGACAACTTTAGTCTCTTTGTTGTGATGTTCTTTTTCACTATGCTGCATTTCAATTTCTGACTCAACACATTCTGAACAGAGGTTTGTCATCTGGAAAAACCTGTTGGACATGGCAAAATATTTTAATATAATGATGACAGAGCGTGTTGTGCCTGTGGGCATGAATTTGAATATACTTCTGGATTATACTTCCTAAAATCTGGCTCCTTACATATCAGAAAAAAAACAAAAAAAAAACATTGTAAATATGAGCTTTTTACTGCAGTTGGTCAATAAATGTACAGGTGATACAAGAATTAACATGTTATTTCTTCCAAATACCTTGGAATACCATGTAAATTCTGTGGTGCATGATTCTGTTCATCATTTTGCAGGTTGAAGCTGGTTTGTCATGGTTTAGCTGGTCTTCCAGGCTGGTCTTCAGTTGGATTAGCTGGTAACAAGTGACGAAAACCCCTTTGAAACCATCAAATTAGACCTAAGACAAGTATTTGCTGTTTGTTGTCAAGTCGAGCTTTTTCACCTAGAGACGACCTCTACAGCCCTGAATTTCAGCGGAGACCAGGACAACTAGATGAGCCCCGGAGACAGATCCCCAGTGAAGACCTAGACGGCCATCGGGACAAGACCACGGAACCAGATGAGTCCTCTGCACAATCTGACTTTGCTGCAGCATGGAACAAACTGCGGGTTCGTCTGGCCGGAGGAGAACTGCCCCCCAAGCTGAGCCTGGTTTCTCCCAAGGTTTTTTCTCCATTCTGTCACCGATGGGAGTTTTGGTTCCTTGCCGCTGTCGCCTCTGGCTTGCTTAGTTGGGGACACTTAATCTCCAGCGATATTGTCGACTTGATTGCACGGAAACTATTTAAACTGAACTGAGCTGAATGATGATATCACTGAATTCAATGATGAACTGCCTTTAACTGACAATTGAGTGTTTACTATTGTCCTTTTGCACTGACACACTATTTTCCTATTTTGATACTGTAAAGCTGCTTTGACACAATCTGTATTGTTAAAAGCACTATATAAAGGTGACTTGACTTGACTTGACTTTATTGTCATTCCGCTAAATGTGTGGACATACAGTGGAATGAAATGTCGTGTCTTGCAGGACCACGGTGCTACATAGTTAAACATAAATATAAACATACAACACTAGACATAAACAATTTTTTAAACCTATACATTGCTAACTTACTGAAAGCGGTAATCTAACTATAGTGCATCAGGGCTCTCAAGTCTTACGCATTCACCGTGAGACACACGCATTTCAATCCGGTCATACGCTCTCACGCCATAAGGGATAACTTGTCCTGCTACTCACTTAAAGCACTGTGGCTTCCCCACTCAAATGCAGATGCAGAGAGAGTGTTCTCCATGGTGGGCTTGAACAAAACCAAAACTAGGAACAGTTTGGCTCTGGACGGAACGCTATCATCTATCATGACGGTGAAATGTATATCTATACTTTATGTGTACAGTATGTACATTGAGCACTGCTCTTCAGTTGGCTCGTTTGTGGCCAAATTTCTTTTTATTTTTGATACATTTGCATTTTTGAAGTACATAAACCTGTTTATTTTATTTGGATGGATTTGTCTGCTTTTTATCAGATTTACCAGTTGTGATTTACCGGTTGTTATCATTTCTATTTGTTCAGGTTAATTATGAACAATAGGTAAAATTGAACTGCTAGTGAAAACTTGAGAGAATTGGGTGCTGCAAATATGTGAATGGCTCCTCCCCTTTGTGTGACTCCTCCCCTTTAAGTGGCCCCTCCCCTAATCTCACTCCAACTTTTGCTATAACTTGAGAGCCCTGGTGTATTATAAATAATTGACTATACATACACATAATCTAAAACGGACTATACAAGTACTAAAACAGACTACAACTTTACATAATGACTGTACATTATATTGTGCAAAAGAGGTATTTAAGGGTAAGAAGCAAATAGTGAAGTATGATTTGTAGTGCATTCGCAAGTAAACATTTGTTATTCTTGTTAAGTCCTTGTAACTGAATGTTTATAAAAAGTGTCTGGTACATACAGAGAGAAAAAAAAGAGTGTGTTAATACAGGTGGTTTGTCCAGCCACTCGTGTGTAGCACACTTAGAATTGTGTTGATTAGCCTTTAATTATATTAAATATTTTAATAGATTTATGCACTGTATGATAATTTTAGGCTATGATTGTATATTTTATTATAATATTGGTTATATTGAAATAGGAATGTTTTTTATGTTTATTTTAGAACATTCCCACAATAATTAGCACTAAGCGGCACACAATTAATGGGGAAAATACAACATTTATTACAAATATTTACATTCCATCATGTAGCTGGTTTATGATGGTTTAGTTGGTCTTCCAGGCTGGTTTTCAGGTGATTTAGCTGGTAACAAGCACCCAAAATCCCACTAAAACCATCAAAATTGACCTAAAACCACCAAACCAACTTTAAAAAAAATCTTTATCCGATAGTCTCAGAAGATCCTTGATTCTTAATTAGATCTCGCTGTAAGGCCACTCAGGTGTGTTCAGCCACTTGTAATGTATAACCTGGCGCGTATCATGTGTCGTATTTGCGCACGAGCTGCATTGCTGCATACCTGACAGCCGTCAAAGTCAAGAAAACATAGATTAATTATGTAGTAAGTTATTTAAACAGATATTATTATCAGATATGGATGTGTGTGGGCTTGTGTGTGAGAACGAGCGAGAAAGAGCAGCTAGCGCGTGCCCCTGTGTCGTCGCGGTTGCTTAGTTGCGCGGTGTTTAACTACTACAGCAGGCCACTTGAAACAAAAACAAACCAACGAGAGACACGTGTTTATTTGAAGCGGGTCGCCGGCCTTTGTTATGTATATTTTGTCATGAATAGACCATCTGGAGTACCAGTTATCTTACAGAGGTACCAGCTTATTTGCCGTTAATTTAATGAAGACTTTATTTTCGCCTGACAGATGCCAGGCGCAAACATTTACGACGAGACTCGCGTCGTCATGGTAACCACCCGAAGTTAAACAATAAAGTGTATTTCCTAGCGCACTTAGAAGCCGCGCTCTGACTAATAAGAGTTTATGATATTAACTGAATAAGAAGGATAAACAGTCATGTGGGGAAGGGATAGTTTTAATAAAAGAAATGGACATGGGATTCAGGAATGGCCGGATGGATGTAAATATGAGGGGGATTTCGTGAATAACCTGAAGCATGGTATTGGTGTCTTCACATGGCCAAATGGAGAGGTATGTTTCACTTCACATGCAACATTATATCACACAATGGTCTGTTGGTTCTAAGATAAAGTTTTAAGTTGTGAACTCGTTCATTAAAGTCCCCCTATTATGGATTTTTGAAAATTATCGTTCATGCAGCGTGTAACACAGCTCTAAGTGAATGAAAACATCCTGCAAAGTTTTAAATCTGAAAGTGCACCGTGTATAAAGTATAGAAACGAGTCGTTTTTAAAACGAATCCCAAGCCGTTTCATGTTGATGTCAACATGAAACAGCATATGCCCGCCCACTTGTTGGTCTTTTCGCGTTGGTCTGAATGAAAATTCTAATTCATTCTTTGCCACTAAAGTTAGGTGTATGGAAAGGCGTTTTAACATTTAATCTATACGCCGTACTAATAGGCTATCTATTTTCATGGTACTAGTACTTATTCATTAGGTACTAGTGCTTATTCTTTAGCTAGTGCTTATTTTTTTAGGTACTAGTGTCTTTTGTAAAGGTAGTAGATGCTATTAGTATTCATTAGATACTAGTTCTTATTCCAATAGTGACTAGTATACTCTTCTTAAGAAAAAATAGAACAAGTATTTATTTTGTAGTTATTAGTAACTTTTTAGACCAGAGATATCCTGAACTTAATAGATGGTGCTTTTTAAATTATCATTTCTGCCCAGTATGGTAATCGTATGTTGAATATTAATGAGCCGGCACATATAGGAGAGAGATTAGACAGGAAACAGAAACAAGAAGATGGATGTACTTTTTTGAGGAAACCACATAGAAAAGAAACAATTATTTGTACACAAACACATAGAAAACGTATTTTTGTCAGTTTTGTAAACACTGTAATTCCGTAAACATAGTAGCCTAATGTGTTTGTTGGTCATCGAGTGACCTCTAGTGGCAGGATGGAAATAAGGAATATTACTTTTGTAATAACACTATTTCACTATAATATACAAAACTGAGTATTTAAGCATAAATATAATAATAAATATAGCTGCAATCATTTTTTTAACACTTCTCTACCCTGAAGAAAAACGTAAGGATTTGCAAATGTTTACCTCAAAGTTCTTAATTATTTTTGCTATTTTTACCCTAAGTAGGGTTTTGTGAGCAATAATGAGTACTCAATTAAAGGGTTAGTTCACCCAAAAATTAAAATTCTGTCATTAATTACTCACCCTCGTGTTGTTCGAAACCCG